GGCCTGAAGGTCGATTTATTATTCACGGCTCAGTAGTACTGTAGTTTTTACTGTAACATGAATAGTCATTCTTTGGATCCTCCTATAATTACAGACTAGTGTGCACCACGTGGCAAACACGACCCCCTTTTTTGTTTCCGCTATACTAATTCTTTTTATGCTACAGTAATATAACTATAATATTTTGTTTCTGCTACAGTAATAACACTGCTGTGTAGTTTTTACTGTATCATAAATAGTTAATCTTTGAATTCTTCTATAAGTATAGAGGAGTAGATAAAAGAACCTTCTTTAAAGATTGTTCTATCATTAAAAAATTTTGGAAATTAAGTAGTGCTAACTATGGTATAAGACGTAAAGACTCGTACCTTCTCATTGCAACTCACGATGGATGATATATCCCACTTGTTGAGTATGCGTTATACAGTACTTGCTTGTGCAGTATATAGTACGAGAGTACTATTATACCTAGTATAGTCTAGTTATGATTTTCGGGGAAGAAGGCTAGGTATTATTGCACCAATTTATTATACTATCCGGTTAGCAGAACATTGGATCATCCACCAAAGTTTCAATCCATTGATGATACCTAAAAAAATGAGTATGCTTGGTACTATGCATAAAAAGTTGTGTTTGGTAGTGATGTGACATAATCCCCTCCTCTCATTCAAACGGTTGCATATCACAATGCACTCCTCAACCCATGTGAATATGGCCCCCCCATTTGAATGAGTGGAGGGGATTATGTCACCTCACTAACAAGCACAAAATTTGTGCTTGATACCAAGCATACCCATATATGTATATGTATATAGTTTAACTTTAGGTTAGCACCGGCTAAGTAAACCTTAGGACATAGGTTCCCCTTTTTCATTTTAAGTTCATGTAAATAGAAAAAGTGTCACAATGCCTAAGAGTTATAGACACAGATCAATCATTAGTTTTTGAGCAAAGACACCAAACCTAACCACTAGGCCACTAGCGGATACTTCTTTAAGAGTATAGTAAGAGAGTGCAGTGTAGCTCTATTTGAATTTAGTCTTAGGGTCTGTTCGTTTGCCAAAAAAAAAATCCGGAAATCTCTTGCCACCTTAACTTCCAAGAAATGAACAATTGTCACATGGGATTTTGTTTTCAAGAGATTTTCATTTCTCTTGTTTGTTTCGTTTTTAATTTTCGAGAAATGAACCGCCACGTAGACTGTCACCTTAAACTTTTAAGAAATGTGTTTTCATACCAAACTGGGCTGAAAACACTTGGAAATGTCCCATCTAAGAATTATTAATTAGTAAAAGATTGTTAGAATAGTGCAGAATAATAAAACATAATATTTAATACCCCAATTTCTCATTTCCTATTTCTTGTTCTCAAACAAACAAAAAAATAGAAAACTGGGCACTGTTACTATGGAAGCTTTTTTTGTTTGTTTGTGTGACTTGGCATTAAAATGTAGAGTTTTCTTTGCGAAACAAACCAAAAAAAAGAAATCTGGAAAATGTGCTTGAAATGTATTAAAATCATTTCAAGGATGAGTTTTCCATTTCCGATTTTTTTTGGAAATAACCAAACAGACCCTTATATATGTATCAATTGCTTAGTGTAGGGTTATGATTGTGACGGAGTTCAGTACTCTATCCAAGGTTTTGAGTCTCCTCAGCTATTTAAATGCCAGTAACAGCACAAAAGCTGAATTTAAATAAAATAGAAGACTGGGTTGTACATGTTAAAAAGCTAATCACAGTTATTAAAGGAATTGAGCATACAACTTACAAATAATTTAATACTTTCATTTTGACACCTGGACCCTTCATGTTGCCACACCATTTGCACTTTATATGTGGGTTTTTTTTTTAAATTTGAAAAACAACTAGCGAAACTTCGTGCTAAACGGTTTATCACCTACTTCATCTAGGAGTTACAAAGTTTTCTTTTCAGGGGCTGTTTGGTTCGTTTTCTAGATATAGGGAAATGTAGTTCCATGTAAAGAAATATAAGTTTTGAGTTTTCCAAACTTTTTCAAGAAATAGATTGTTTCGGTTTGGTTCACACATAAAAAGAGGTGAGAAACCAATGTATTTATTTTTTAATGTATTTACTTTGTGAAAATTAAACGAGACTTGTAATAACCTGATCATTCATAAATTTATGAAATACGTACCTAAGTTAGCCACATGTATATGTGAATTGTGACTGTGGGCTCAAACCTTGTTCAATATCATCATTGTTAGCAATGTAGTGTAATATCAAAAGATATTGCAGGTTGCTAATTTCATAAAAATTTACAATCATCATAGCCTACATTGAACACAGGAGCTCGATGACAAACACAAATAGCAACAAAAAACCCAACAACATAGAGCTAAACAAGCTTGAATCAGTATACTAAGAAAAAACAGCCACGAGAGCTCTACGACGAGCACAAATAGCAACCAAAAACCCAACAACATAGAGCTAAACAAGCTCGAATCAACATAGTAAGAAAAAACAGCCACGGGAGCTCGGCGACGAGCACAAATGAGATCTGAAAAAATCCAGGCTTCACATCCCAGAAAAGCACCACCTGAACACAAACATCCCAGAAAAACAACCATGCTTCACTTTCTAATATAAGCACCACTTGAACACAAACATCCCAGAAAAACAACCAAGCTCCACATCCCATAAAAGCACCACCTAAACACAAACATCCCAGAAAAACAACCATGCTCCACAACACAACCAGAAAAATGCACAAATAGAACTTGAACACAAACATGCTCACAAATGCTCATAAATGCCCACAAAAATGCTATATATGACTTGCCATATAAAAACCATATGAATAGCTCACAAATGCCCACAAAATTAAATATAACATGAGTTTGCACATAAAATCTCACTAAGGAAATTAGTGAAATGGGCTTAGAACTAGATCAATATCATCATTGTTAGACATTCAGTGTAATTTCAAAAGATAATGCATTTGGTTGCTAATCTCAGAAATTTTGACAATCATCATAGCCTACAAGTAAATAGTCACCAATGTAGACTCGTTTCATGAAAACTTACTACTCAAAATACCCGGAGCAATATGCTCAAAACTTTGTCAATATCATCATTGTTAGCCATCTAGTACAATTTTAAAAAGATATTATATTTGGTTGCTAATCTCAGAAATTTTGACAATCATAATTTAGTTTCACGGTTGGACATTACATTGGACATGAGAAAAGGGTTATAGATAGTTTCACAGTTGGACATTACATTGTATAACTGCCAAGTTTTGCCTGATATAATGAACATATACAAAGTAAACTATTTGATACTTTGAAACAATATTGTAACAGGGAAAACTTTGAAACAAATAATTATCAAATAGTTTCACAGTTGGACATTATATTGGACATTGCCGTTTTGTTTGTTTTTTAAGTCATGACCCTTTTCTCTGCTTTAATAGAAAGAAAACTATTAAATCAGCCAGTGTTCAATGATATAATGAACATATAGCCATGAGCCTGATTTCTTATATCAATTATCACTTTCTAAAATAATGGCATATGTGGTTAAATTTTAATAGAAAGAAAGATCAATAAGACTTGATATAAACTAGACAAGAGGGGCACTATCATTGTCTCCTGAAATGGAGAATTATTGTAGAAGTTTGCATATAAAATTACAAAGCTTTTAGTTTTTGAATGTTTAATTTCATTAAGCGAGAAAAAATTATCTGTCCCATTTATCTTCAAAAATCTAATTAGGGTAACTTGTGTTCATAAAAACAACAACAACAATTTAAAAAAATGAGCTAATTGCTCCATAATCATTGGCTCAAGCTTCAATTTCACTAGCTAAACTGATTTGGACTCTTAAAAACTATTTTTAATCATCAATTTAAAACCAAACTATTCCATCATTTTAGCTTACTCTGAGCTCCAAACCTATCGATTTTAACCAAATCAAACAACAAAAACACAAAATTGACCCCCCACAAAAAAAGAAAGAAGAACAAAGGAGATAGATCAAACCTACAAGCTCGAAGCTTAGCTGCAGTAACTCCAAAAAATTCCGCCCAATTGTTAGGTCTTATAAAGAGAGAAAGACGCGAGTACGATTTTTACCTTGATTTTGGAATAATCTGAAAATAAATCTAAATAGTACAGGGACAAAGAAGGCTACATGAGTTTCTGGCGGAAGCGATGCGAAGGAGGTAACTCTAGCTCACCAAAGAAATCAATGAGGAAGAAAAAAATCCGACGTGGTCATGTTTTAGTCTACTTTACTTGGTTGGGGAAGAAAATGGGGGAGAGAAAAAAACTGATGTGGAGACGATTTGTGCTTCGGTTTCCCTCTTCAGCCCTAGCAAAACAAAGCGGGGAAAAAAAATCAGCGGAAACCAAAAATTAGACGTGGAGGAGAAAAAACCGACGTGGAGGCGAAGTAATAGTTTTCCACGAGGTGTTAAAACGAACCAAACATCCCTCATTGTAAAATAGGGAACCGTCCTTGTTTAATTGTGTTTAATTTTCTTCAAAGACCATAATTATCGTTATTTTGACAATTATAAGTCATCTTCGGCCTTTTTTTGAAGTGTAAGAGGATACAAATGCCAAATGGTATTTCATTGTCATACAGCTCACAATCAACTACCAAACTAGAAGAATAAAACTATGAATATCTTGAAGGCTAAGTTGGACACCAAAAATGCGTATATATAAAAAAAACATAAAAAATATAATTTGCAAATATTAAGATCTCAGACACTAGAATTAACATAGCACATATTTTGGGTCTGACATGTAAAAACCATATTAAAAAGGTTAGAAAAGAAAAACGTCCATCCAAAGCAAGCGTGACTGTCAAATCTATTTATTCCGCTTTCTCTCTCCTGGAGATTCGGTTTTAGTCGCCGATAAAATCGACGAGGCTTCTCTCTGAGTTCCCAATTGATCTCTCGTCTCTCTTTCTTCTTTCTCCGGATTCGGGTAGACGTTTCAGATTTCCTAGGTATGCCCCCAAACAATCAAATATTTACAGCACAACATTGATATCTGAGCCACTTGAAATCTTTGAGCTCTGTTTGTTTTTTATCCAAAAAAACTCATCACGAACCGTTCTTTGATCTCGTCTCCAATTGGGTTTCCATCATTTTCCATGAGTTTTAAGAATTTTGCGTAAAAATCCAATCTTTGTTGCTTTCTGATACATGGAGCTTTTGGACCAGTTTACAGGTTTTATTAGCGTTTCCTATTGTGGATTTTTTTCCTCGTACGATTGAACATTTGGGCTCCAGATTCTGTCCTCTCCTCAGAATCAAATGGTGTTCCTTTATGCAAATTTTCTTTTCTAAGTTATTATATGTGTATATTTTCTTTTTTGTTTGTACGTTAGTAGCCTTCTTCTCACCTTTGTGTTTTGTTAGCGGTGGAATTCTCTAGGATGTCGAGATTTTTATACATGGATCAGCTTTTTGTATCTTGTTGTATATATTAAATCCTCCTCTTTGTCATCTATGGAACCCATGATTTCTCCTCAGTCCTTTGTCTCTCACGCCTCATACATCAATACAGATTCCTTTCTCTCTCGATCTCTGTGTAGATATTATATACTGTTCTCTTTTTTCCCCACTAGTCATCTCAATTTCATCAAACTGTGTTTTCATTCTCCTTTTTTTGAGCTTTTAATGTTCTTTTTAGCTAATTTAGTGTGATACCCGAGTCTCCCTTATGTTGTATTCTAATGCTCTTATCCTCCTTACTGTCTGTTGTTCTTCAATTGCCTAGCTTGGCTTTCAAGTCAAAAGTTGGTTTCTTCAAATTTAGTTCATTTACATTTTTTGGGTACTTTTGTCTCATGTTACTTCCCATTCCCCCCTTGTACAGGTTTAGTTCTGATTTAAATTGAATAAAGAAGTGAAGAGATTGAGAAAATGGAAGGAGAGACGTTCTCAGGCTTAGGCAATGGAGCCCAAGTGGACACAAAAATCCTCCAAAGCTTTCATAAGAACTTTGTTCAAGTGCAAAGCATTCTAGATAAAAACAGGTTACTCATCAATGAGATCAACCAGAATCATGACTCCAAAGTCCCTGATAACCTCAGCAGAAATGTTGGGCTCATAAGAGAGCTTAATAACAATATTCGAAGGGTTGTCGATCTCTATGGCGACCTCTCGACCTCCTTCTCAAAGTCCATGGAGGCTTCCTCTGATGGGGATTCTTCTCTGAGGTCTGATGCAAAGCTCGGTATGAAGAGATTCAGGTCATGAATTTATTAAATAATCTTATTATTATTATTATTGGTGTTGTAATCTTCTTGTATGTCTACTTTAATCCTTAAGTGATCTAATTCTTTTTTCTATGTTGTAGTGTTGATCAGGAAGTGATTGTCTCTCTTACTGATATTTAACTTATATGTTCTAATTTTTTTGGGTCATTCATGATACATGAGCTATAGTTTGTCAAATTCCCCAATAAGATTCATTTTTTAAAAATATTGGGATTAAAACATCGTGATTTAGTATTCAATTACGACGTGGTTGAAATTTTTCTGTGTGGATAGCTGTGAGTGAAAGTGAAGCAGGGTTGATGTTATCTCTTGTTGGTAGGTACCATTCATAATGCCACACATGATTGGACTCGTCTTTCAATTATTTGTACATTACTAGATTGAGTTCTTTTGTTAACTATTGAAGTCTTTAAATATTCCTCCATTATTAATTGGGACTCGTATACTCTCTAATTAGCTGTTAATTATAAAGTATCCAATTATACAAATCCTTACCATTCGTTTCAATTTTAAGGGTCGAGGTTATGCAATATAGGATTTTCGATAGTGGTTTTTTAGGCAATAGTGATTTTCAAGACAATTGTGATAATTTTACGAGACGTCATCTCATCCCTTAAAATTAGAATAGAGGACAACAATTGGGTTAATTGTAACTTTCAAATTACCACCTCATTGGAGAGTTTCTGTATCTAGTTCGTTTTGTCTTTGTTTGGAACCCAAGATATGGGCGTTCGGATTTCTGGTACCTTTTGTAGTGTTTTCACCAAAAAGCATCTTCTTCCTTGTGAGGTCTTCTCTAATGTTTTATAGAAAGTGAACATTAGTTTGTTGTGCTTTCATTATATTTCATGAGCAATTCATCAAGATATCTGCTAGAAGGAACGACCATCATTTTTTTGAGAAAAAGGATGGAATACCACAAAGGTATTCCAGCCAGCTAAATTAAGATAACTGGTTGTTATAAAAAATAGAACATACTCCCAACCAAAGAGCATGTACTACTGTTTAAACCAAAAACTTACAAAGCCAATCAACACACCCATGTCCAAAGCACTAGGCATAAAATCCCAAAAAGAGTAAAAAAAACCGACAAAGCAAACAAATATACTGTATATAACCCAATGCTATGCAAAACAACAAAAAACAAAAAAAAAGACTATCTTTCCATCAACCAAACAGCAAAAAACACCCTGTGAAATCTTCATTCCAATTAGATCACCTGGAACTCAGCCATCCCGCCATCAGCTGTGCCATCATTAGCAATCCTCCCAGCAGCTTTTTTCCTCCTTCTTTCCTATAACCTAGCAGCTCGAGCAGAAATCTCTTTAGAACCTAACCACCAGAAGGTTGAATAAGTCACAATTTTATTCAGGAGGAGAAGAGATCCTTTCTGTTTATTAGAAAACAATCTATCATTGTGTTCCTGCCACACACGCCAGGGATTTTCTTACTTCTAATCTAGCTTTTTTTGATAAATTGTCTTTGTAATTAATTCTGGTTTCTATGATTGAGTTCTCCATTATCGTCTGCTGCTCTTTCCTCTGATAATTGATATCTCCCTCATCTTTTGCTCCCCACCATCTTTTGTCCTTGAAAAGGCGCAAAATCTCTTTCGGGCTTTTTTACCATTTTCTCCACCGTTGATCCATCGATATCCACTCATCACAGCCATCAATCTTCCAAATTCTTCCTCCAAGTCTCAAACTGAGATCTGATTCCTTTTCATGAGTGGGGTTTGTTTCTGAAGACGCTCCCTTTTAGCAAATTCAGTGAAAGGATGTAACTTTTTAAATAAAAATTCAGTTCCAATCATGGAAGGCCCCCTAAGTCTAGAATCTAAGATAAGGAACAGATGGGCTTTTTGACCCCTGATTTGTTCTGGCCAATGACAATATCTTGCATGTCCCCCTTTTGTTTCTGAAGCCACAAAGCCAAAGTGTTGCATAACAAAACAACAAAGCACAGGTAGCCTAAAACATAGCAGTACAGCTTCATAATATGACAAAGGATTCCCCCTTGGGTTATCTCCCCTCTCTACGTACCTAGGAACAGTACAAAGAATTCCTATAGAGCGCTCTCTATAGAAAATCTTATAGAAATGAATTAGATGACGACATGTTGTCCGCTATTAATTTTAAATCAATGCAATCACTCGCCACACAATCAACTACATCATTGTGTGCATCAGGACAACGAGAATGTTGTATATTGCAATCACCAACTTTAAAATTTATGCGGACACGTATGTCTGGTTTAGAACATGAGAATATGCTGGAGAATGGAATGTCTATCACCACTTTTCGTTTCCTACTTACCAATCAGAAATCACTTGGAAAGATGTGTGAGAAATGAGCATTTCCCAGAAAAGTTACGGAATCGGAAAATTCTTTCTTTCTTTTTTCCTCTTACTTCATTCTGCCTTCAGTTCTAATGACAACCAATGTGATAATAAGAATGAGAATCATATTCTATTCCGGTCTTAGTTAGCTATCTGTTTATTCAATATATGGTTTTTCTATAGAGCAGCTCCTATGGGATTCTCTCCCCTTTTCGGCTATCGTTTTCCATGTGGGAATAAAATAGGAGAACCCTTTTATATGCTCCAAACGTGGAGGTAGACCGCAGTTACCTCTGTAATCATAGTTTAGGGTCTGATCTAGGGGACTTAGCCAAGGTTGCATGGCTAGAGTTGTCCTTTTTACCTGTAGATTGTTGAAAATGTTGTTGTTAACCTTGGTAGAAATTAGAGATTAGCTTATCATGTTATATTATTGATGCTTATGGTAAGTTTAACATTGAAGGATGAAGCATAAAAGGTGTTGGTCCCCTCCCAACCCCCATCAGCATTTGCTTTCGTTTTACCGAATCAAATATTATCATGTGGTCAATGGAAAATTGTCGGTTAGTTTCTTCATTATTAATTGAAACTCAACTTTCATCATCTCTTGATGTTGGTATTCACTTTGGATTTGAGTTTGTGTTTTTATATTCTATCTTTTTAAGGACGAATTTTCAAAACCAACATATTTTCACATTTAATCCCAAAAAAGACCTGTTTTGAACTTATTTTCAAAAACCGACCTGGTTTCAGCCCTGACGTTGAAAGCATGTCGTTTTTTGAAAAAAAAAAATTCTGAAACTTCACGGGAGTGAACTTACATGAAGTTTAGTAAATCTGCTAAACTTCACGGCAGTTCTCCAGTGAAGTTTCATAGTTCAAAATTTTTTTTTGAACTATGAAACTTCACGGGAGTTGAACTCCCATGAAGTTTAGCAGCTTTACTAAACTTCACGGGAGTTCAACTCCCGTGAAGTTTCGGAAGCTTTTTCACAAAAACCGACCTGGTTTCAGCGCCAAGGCTGAAACCAGGTCGGTTTTTACAAATAAGTTCAAAACATGTCTTTTTTGGGATTAAATGTTCAAATAGGATGGTTTTGAAAATTTGTATCTTTTTAAATTCTAATATAGAAAATTGCCGATCGTCAAATTTCTCCAAGCACAAGCAAATTGTGTTTTTATATTCTATCTTTTCTTTTATTTCCCTGGAGAAATACTATTTTATCAAAAATCACATTTTTTCATCTTTATTGCAAACCGGATTACTTCATTGGTGACAAAAATAAACCTTATAAGAGGAAATCGGCGATTCCCCCCCCCGCCCCCCCCCCCTCCATTTGGATGTAAAGATGGGATATTATCTAACATTTAACCAGTATAAGTGATGATGAATGAAGCGGATGAAATAGTACGTGTTTTATCCATTATTAGCATTGAAATGGAAGAATTTCGTTCGGAAAGTTTTCTAGGGGAACAAATTTATCTCCAAAGTTACGTGTCAAATTTGCTGATGATTTTGTTTCCACTTACATATTCTCTACTAATATGGCGCAAGAACCTAGGAATAAACGGGAAAACATAATTAATTTATACGGTAATGTTGCCATGATGGAATATTATCCATGACCTTTTTCTCAGTAAGTTAGGGTGCCAGTTTAAGAATATCGAACTAAAGATGTAGGTTTTTCTTTTTTCTTTCTTTTTTTTTAGCAGAAGAAGGGATATAATATCCTCCATATGTTAATCATCCTGACTTCTTTTGTAAAGTTTGATGTCCCGAATATTCAAAGAGAAAAAGAGTTTGTTATCTAAAGTATTTAATTAGGCTTTGCAAAGCTTTTAGGTATTTATCAAGCTATTGTTATCGCTTCAAGTAGTGAAGACATAAGTTATCTATGTACGGAAGATGTAGCACTTTGTGTTTGCTTTCTTATGGATGTTAGCAAGATTCAAAATTAAAAATGAGAAAGAGCCAAGGAAACATTATATCTTATTCAACAAAAGCGAAGGGAACATTGTTTCTAATTATTAAAAAAAACAAAATTGAGAGGAAAACTGTTATCCCCACCCTATGTTAATTTAATTGAACTTTGTGACGGGAGGGCACATGTAGGGATATATATTTGGGTGCATGTTTATGAAATTTGGAGTTTTTATCAATCTGAATATGCATGTATTCAGATCTATTTTCCTCTCATCGGATCATAACCACATACAATATTTGGCACAAATACTAACTTTTTTTTCAAATATCCATGTTCATATACATATTATGTGGTAATGTGTGTGTACATATATAAACAGAGAGAGAGAGAGGGAGGGGGGGCGGGGAGAGAGAGAACATATGTGGTAAAGTGTATAATCATATATGATAAATGACAGAAACAGACAAATATGATAATGTTGCGCGCAGCGGAAATTTCGGCAGCACTTCGGCAGCACAACAAGAGAGTCAGGTCGCAATAAGAATTCTTGTTTCTCAAAGGGAACAAGAATCTGAAGCCTATATCCTATCAAAGTAGGATATTAGCTCTTCCTCTCGTCAGCTCTAGGACTGCGCGTCGAGGGACCCTAAAAGCTATTACAAATCACACAAAAGCAGTACAACCAATTTTAACGTGGTTCGGCAAATTGCCTACGTCCACGGGGCAAGGAGGGGGGAGATCTACTAATAGAGGGAGAGAATACAAATAGGGTTTACACAAGAATCCAACAAATAAAACCCTCACACAAAACTCTCAGACCTCTCACACAAACTCTCTCTACAAAAGATGCTCAGAACCCTCTTGACGGCTGCTGAAAACTCCTCAAGCTTCTG